CCAAGATACCTTGAAGGACCTATCTGAGAGATAAGACTCAAACCACTGGAGTGTGGTTCCTGAGATGGAATTGTATTGGAATTGATGTATTGGAATCAGCAGTAGAAATCATTTTGAAAATTCTGATATTATAATAAAACTAAATGTTCTGATAGTAACATGGTTTTGAAACAATCCAATGTCTGTGGTAACATCATAAACTGTAAAATGATGGTAAAAATGACAATTTAAACAACTTTACAGCTCAAACAATACAAGTTTTGACAAAAACTAAAAGTTGTATAAAATGATAATGCCAATATGCTCGTATTGCAGCCTTTAAACCATTAAGAAAAAGAATAAATCAAATTTACAAATTATTTTATATTTTACTTAATTATTTTTTAATTATACATTTTCTGCACTAGTCTAAACACAAGCAGCAGGTGATCTGAATGAAAAAGCAGATTCACTTTCTGACAGTAGGTGACGCAAATACTCCTGCGCTTTATTAAACACAGCTTTATTAGGAATAATACAGTCGGTTCCCAGCTCAATGATTAAAATATATATTTCATATAAAGAAATGCTTCAGAGATTGACGGTGTGTTTGTGACTCCTGCAGGAGAAGTGCGCTCACGTGCTGCTGGTCAGAGGAGCCGACAAGGAGCTGAAGAACTGCAATAATCAGAGTCCATTCCAGGTAATGTCTTCATGAACGGTCCGCGCACACTTCTCTCGTGCATCTCAGCAAACTTTTAACTTTAAAAAAATTTTACTTTAAAAAGTTCACTTGTGCATTGCTATTTATATCACTGAAACCTGTGTTACATTAACCTTGCCATAAAATAAATATGATAAAGGTGGATCACTGCATGTGTTAGTCTTGGTTAGTAATATATCGATTAGTATGCTTTATATCAGTATCATGACCACATTATTTAATATTGGTCACTAATACAATTGTTAGAAATGTGCATTTAATAATTAAAAACACTATGTATTTCAGTAGGTTACACGCTTGGCCATTCACTGATTTTTAGAAATACTGAATAGTTTTAGGAATTGAATGAACTATTCTTTCATGGATATGGTTGTGTGTGTGTGTGTGCGTGCGTGCGTGCGTGTGTGTGTGTGTCTCTGTGCGTGCGTGTGTGTGTGTGTGTCTCTTTGCGTGTGCGTGCGTGCGTGTGTGTGTGTGTGCGTGCGTGTGTGTGTGTGTGTCTCTTTGCGTGCGTGTGTGTGCGTGCGTGCGTGTGTGTCTGTGTCTGTGTGTGTGTCTGTGTCTGTGTGTGTTCCAGTAGTTTGTGGATGAACTGTGATTAAAGGCTACAGATGGTGAGGTACAAATCTCCTGTCAGAAGTGCTGGTAGGATTACGGCTCAAGCACGCATGTGCGGAGTCTCTCAAACAAGCACATTAGACGATTCAAAAGAAGAAACTGAGCAGAATGAAAACAATCACCGCAAGGTGTTTGAAAGTGATTCAGTGTGTTAAACCCTCTGAGATTTTACATTTCCTCTGTTCATCACATCAGTCTCTTCCTAGTGGAGTTCAGTATTGTCTACTCTATACATGTGTTCATTACAGTTTATGTACAGTTTATGTATACATGCCCATACAGTTTATGGGCATTTAGTGTTTTTTAGTTAAAAAAAATCTTGTTGTGATGTATTTTGTTTTTTAACAGGTGAAGCATGTCTTTTCTGTGCCACTAGCAGCACTAAACAGAATTGTAGTCTGATTGATTAAGTGTCCCGAATGGACTTTACATGTGAACATCGTCTCAAGCAAGCGTGACTTTAGGACTTTAGATGCTCAGAAATCACACACTTCAGCTCCACACAAAATCTCAGTTACACAAAACACAATGTAACCTTTAACCGTAGCTATACCTGACTTGGGCAACCTTTTAAAAGATGTAAATAGAGCTAGTTGTGTTTCTGTTGGGTTAGTAACAGGGAATCTGTGCCTTAAATCTGAAAGAGATCCCGTTATGATACAGTAATGTTAATCTTTAGCGTAGATTGTGTTCTTTCAGTGATATCAGTATCATCTGACACAATACGCTTAGGAAGGATCTGTTACTGTACACGTTCACTTCTGGTACTTTTGTGCAAGTTTGATCGGTTCAGTTGAGGCATCATCATGCGATCAATATATCAATATTATGTGCCTATTTTATACTAACAGTTACATTTGTATCCACTCACAAATGCAACCAAAATATAACACAAACATTTAATTGAACTCTCTGAAAATAGCAAATCTTGTATACAAATTGGCACATCACATAAAACACACTTTAGTTTTTTAAAGAATATACTGTAGAAAAGTCGCTCTTGAGATCATTAATCATATTCCAGTCCTAAAATGTGAACACGAATAAAATAAAATCTAGGATAAAATATAATCTAAAAAAAAAAAATTGTCAAAAAAAAAGCATTTATAAAGAAAAAATTAAATAAAAATAGTCTTCTAGTATATCTTATAGATATATAAAACAGATTTTTTACGAATTGCATTTTTGCTTTTATGCATTTTTACACATAGATAATATCATTAGTCATGTGACTGATGCATCAGGCTATATTGTTGACCTGAGCTTACAGTATTTACAGTATTTGTCTCTGAATGAAACTGACTCAGATACGATGTGAATCAGAGCGAGCGTCTCTGCTTGTGTTGCAGGTGGCCATAATCTCTGGGAATTTCGAGTTGGCGGAGCTGATTAAGAAGCACAGAGAAAGTGACGTAGGTAAGAGCCACAAACACCGCATCTGATTTAACAACCCGATATCAGAAACCTCCAGCAGAGCTCTATAGACAGCAGTGTGTGTGCAAATAGGGCACGTCTTAATGTGAAAGAAATGACTGGACTAATCCAGGAGCGGCAGCTAGGATTAAGAGCGATGACGAGCCAGAGCTGCACTTAAGATATTCTCCTCTGAAACCGTGTGTTGTGTTCTGAGTGCATGATGTTCAACACAAACACAAACATGATGCAGCTCAGTGTCACCGAAACAAACAACACAACATCACGGGAGGTTTTTTGTTTTCACACACTACTGTTTTTATTCTCATTTGTGATATCAGCCGTCTGTCAGGCTGGACTCTGTCAAAAGAGGGCAGGGCTTTTCCAAAAGACAAAAACAACAAGCAGTGCTACCCTATATGCTGACTTGACCTAAAGAGCATTGTTTTTCAGTATGTTTTCATAAAAGCAAAAAATGTTGAGTGAGCTGGATTATACCGGGCCCAGGCAACCGTTCACATGAATAAATCAATCAAAAGGAACAGAAGTAAATATCTGAGGAGGCATAATCCATGATTGTTTCCCGGAGCAGCCCACAGCTGTCCTGCAGACTAAATTAAAAAAGACGCAAGTCACAACAGCAGCGAGGGATTACGAGCTCATCATCTTCCAGCGAGCGCAGCGGCAGACTCATTCCTCCTCTCTGATCTGGGATGGGATTTTGTAGGGACTGGATTCGTTTGGGTCATGGGTTCTGCCTGGTGCACAGCAGAGAGAGGTGTGTTGATTTACGCTGATTTCATCTCTAGCAGGACCTTCTCCAGCTCTTTGTGTGCGCCCAGTTGTGGCTTTGAAATGTTGGTTTCGTTGTGAGAGTACGATCTGCGGTTTGCTGGGATGGTTACAAATCTTAATGTTTGTACGCTCTTGATTTCCCATGGTTTCATCTGGAAAGCAAAGTGCAAATAAAAGCATCCAGTGAACCATTTTCATGATTTGGCAGAATGATGATTTTAATGAATTTGATTTTAATAAAGCCTGACCCTTGGCATCACCATTTGCTTATAGTGATCATATGCAGCATTCATAAACAGCCATCTTTGATAGCTGTAAACATCGAAATGCATGCAACTTCAAGGCATTTTGTAATACAGCATTACACTATATATACATTATTTATTTATGAAATAATTGCACAAGTGGTAGTTCTGTGTCATTTTGATTGAGAGTGTCAGACATTTTTTTCTGCGTTCTTTACAGACACATTAATGCTGTGAATGGCATTGTTTGTGTGAGAGCGTTTATATAATGTGAGAAATGAAAACACACGAGTGCACTCACGACACTCTTCACTAACAACTTGCACTTCTTAATATCGTTCTTCTCCCAGATCAGCTTTAAAATAAGGCTTAAAATAATCTTTAATGTCTGAAAAATCAAGAACTCTGGAGTTTCCGAGGATAGGGATGTTGTCTGGTAAATAGTGCAGCTGCTGTTCTGTCATGTTTTTCTGTAAGGATCGAGGCGCTCGTCTCTGTTTGAAGCGTCTGTGGAGCGACTCGGCTCTTCTCTTATGTAATGTTAAGATGTTTTTCCTCATGTCACAAACTCTTTCGACTGTCGTTCAGGCGTCTCTTCAGTCACTGTAAGCGTGGCCAGTGGATTTTCCCCAGATGTTCATTGATCCCGGTTCTGATCCTGTGTTCTTGAGAAAACACTGATTGCTCCAAGCATTACGTAACTCTGAGATTTCCCTCAAAATCCTGCTGTGTGAAATACGGAGGAGATCTGTCTCTCCTCGGGGCTCCTTGTGTTAACCTGACATCTGACATCGTTTCTTTTTCTCGCTCTTTGTCTTTCGCTCTCCTCTCGATCTCTCTGTAAGAGTTGTTCGTCTGATGCGCTTTATGGTCAGTCGTGTCCCTTCTTCTTTTCTCTGTGTCCTGTTTCTGATTTATTGGTCAGATGTTGGTTAATGGAGGAGGTGGTTCACCAGTTCAGATGAAGAGAGGACTCAGTAGAGACCGTACTGTGTTTATGAAGAACTAAATGAGCAGGAGCTTCTGTAAGTGAGAAGACATTACCATTAGACTACAGTTAGAAAACCATAAGATGTTGGAGAGTTAACGGAAGATGAAGGAAGCATTATGGCAACAGTAAAGGAAGTTAATCTCAGAAATGAAGAACGGGGAGCGGTTGGTCTAATATCTGTCATATATGAGAAGAGTCCTGATCATCTTATTGCTCATACACATTGGCATAACTAGACCGGAGCATCAATTATGTTTTTCCTGATGAGAATTGCATTGCTGGAGGTTTTACCTATTTTCATTTATGAAGAACGAAGATGCAAGAAATGTGATTTCCGTGGGCGATCTGGAACTGATTTTTTAAAGCAGTTTAAGCGAACACACTTTATAGAGTTTGTGTAAAAAACAAATTATCAACATCGTAAAAGACATTAAATGGACAATGATGTATGAATCAGGTTATTTCTAGAAACCCTGTACAGAGAAGGTGGGAGACCTTCAGTCATATCCACAAACTGTCACGTTGCACACACACGAGGGACGAGGAAACCATCATGGGGAACACCTGGGACAAATTAAACATGGGAAAGGAACACCTGGGGAGCAAGACACAGACAAAACATGGAACAGAGTCTGACACAAACACACACGAAGCATGCGTTATTATAATAAACATGATGGTTTTATTTTAATTGAATTTGCATTTGATTCTGTTTTTGGTTTTGCGAAAAGAGTGTGTAGTTTTAATCAAGCATTGTTTATTTAAAATACATCAATATTTAAAAATAAATACATTTAAAAGTGATTTAATTGTATTCTGTGGCAAAGTTTGCATTATGGTGTACATGCACAGATAAGGTAGAATGAAGAGAAGAAATGATTTCTGATATGAATTAGACTAAGTCTTTTTGTTTATTATGTGAACCTGATGATCAGGGAAGTTTTAATTTAAGGCTGTTTTCTTGTTTTCTAAGCAAATGCAGATTCTGAGGAAAACGTTTTTGTAAAGATGTGTATAAATGATTAGGTATTTGTGATTTGAATCTGTTTATTACAGATGACTCTCTAGTAACTGTGTGTCAGTATCTCAAGCCTCTAATACTAGCTTAAAAATGACATTTTTGACTTGGTAAAAGATGCTTGAGCTGTTTTTAAGGAAGCTGCATAAGAAAGTACCACATACAAGAGTGTTTTCCAGATAATAACCACCTCCGATGTGTCAGTCACTGCTTCAGGTTTGATTTTAAACTCTATGTTGTGCAACAGAAACATTTTTGTTCACATCTGCCTCTTTAAAATTAAACCTGTTACAGGGTCATTCATACACATGTTCCCTTATACATCACATTCATATAAATTTACCAGTCTTGTTACTAATTAAAAGGTCCATGAACACTATGAATCAATTATGCATTGTCTGATGAATTGCTTTGCATTTAAACATGAATGGTGTGAGTGATTTTCCCGTTTTGGCAAAAATAGCTGAAAATGGCAAGCAGTATTAATCAATCGTCATTCGTGACAAATTTGGGCAAAATCATCATTGTTATTTTTTTAAATAGTTTCCTTAATCTGAGTGGTTCAAGACTTGACTACTTTTCATAAGTTTGCCACCTGAACACACACACAAGAAAAGAGGACTCGATTCAACAAAGTTAAGTGGTTGAAAAAAAGCTCCTTAATTTGTCATTACTTACTTTCCATAAAAAGTAACTAAGTAACGCAATTAGTTACTTTTTTTAGGGAGTAACGCAATATTGTAATGCATTACTTTTAAAAGCAACTTTCCCCAACACTGCTTATTACACTTACAAAGATTTTTGTCATTGTATTTTTTTGGCTTCCTCCTCATAGTTCACTTTAACCACATCTTTGTTCCCAACAGTTTAATGGATATATTATGGGCTGCTCTTCAGCTGACCTGTCTTCTGTTTCGTGTGTGTGTGTGTGTGTGTGTGTGTCTCTCTCTCTCTGTCTGTGTGTGTGTCTCTCTCTGTCTGTGTGTGTGTCTCTCTCTCTCGGTGTGTGTGTGTGTGTGTATATGTGTGTCTCTCTCTCTGTGTCTGTGTGTGTGTGTGTGTGTGTGTCTCAGTGCGGTTCCCCGAGGTCCCGCTGAACTCCAGACAGCAACGGTCTCTCCAGAAGAACAGTCTCTCTGGTTCTCGGGCGCTGCTGCGCTCCAACAGTGACATGAACCTTGTGGCGCGCGCCGTGAGTCCGGAGCAGCTCAGTCTGTCACCGCAGAAGATGCAGAGAGACCCGAGCGGCCGGGGAAAGATGACGGGCCGCGGCGGCAGAACCGTCCCGAGCAGCTGTTCCCTGTCCATCAGCCTGGAGGACGAGCAGAGCACGCAGCAGAAATGGTAGGACAGAGTTCACCAAACACAAACAGAAAGCTTTTATCCCTTCCCATCACACACATATGTGATCATATGTGATCCTGGAGCACAAAACCAGTCATAAGGGTACATTTTGTTAGGATGGGACAATATTTGGCTGAGATACAACTATTTGAAAATCTGGAATCTGAGGGTGCAAAAAAAAATCTAAATATTGAGAAAATCATCTTTAAAGTTGTTCAAATGAAGTTCTTAGCAATGCATATTACTAATCAAAAATTAAGTTTTGATATATTTACGGTAGGAAATTTACAAAATATCTTCATGGAACATGATCTTTACTTAATATCCTAATGATTTTTGGCATAAAAGAGAAATGTATAATTTTGACCCATACAATGTATTGTTGGCTATTGCTACAAATATACCCCAGCGACTTAACACTGCTTTTGTGCTGCAGGGACACATATGTGCTGTAGGTACATAAACTAACATGTTTAGTTTAATTTTTGCAAGAAAATGAAACTAAATCAGCCTTGGCTTAATTATTATGAGTAAATTGATGCAACAGTTCTTTACACATGTTCAGGACAGGACCCCACTTCACTGATTTTAAAACTAGACTTAAAATGTATTTATTCAGACTGGCGATGTTGTGACATTTTTATGTATTTTATGTATTTTGTTGTTTTCTATTTGACTTTTTTGTTGTAGTTTTATACGTTTCTTTCCACCGTTTTATTTTGCTCTTATTGGAAAGCACTTTGGTCACCTTGAGTGCTGTAAAGGGCTGTCTAAATAAATGTTGATTAACAAATGTGAAGCTGTTTGTACAGCAGAGGGAGCTCTTCCAGTAATACAGCAGCGCTCGGCTGTCTCTGGGTGTCAGTATATTCTAATGCTTCACGTGTTATGAATGCCGTCCTGGAGTGAATGTGTTTCTGCTCCTGCAGTGTCAATGGCAGGCCGTGTGGCCAGAGCTCCAGGAGAAAGCTGTACAGCGCTGTTCCCGGCCGTCATTTCATCGCCGTCCGCTCATACCAACCTCAAGCTGGTGGAGAGATCAGCCTGCAGAAGAATGACAGGGTCAGAGGTCAGCGCCGTCGAATCTCATCTGAATCTAGATGCGGCCGTGATTTTCTCATTTCTCCTTTCAGTTTATAGAAGGTATTTTCTGCCATTTTTTAAATAAATCAATTCAATTATACAAATTAACACCAGGTTAACAATTTCGTTACAGAAAACTGGACGCAAATTTTTAAATGAAATGATTTAATTTTCACTGAGAATGCATGGTCCTTGTCAAGTTGAAAAATAAAATGCAGTTGGTGATTTGATCTCGAGGCAAGACTGGAAATATATTAAGAAAATGCAAATGCAGTTTTTACAAAGCTTTTTAACTCTTTCCCCGCCAGCGTTTTTGAAGACAAGTTGCCAGCCACCGCAAGCATTTTTGCTGATTTTCACCAAAATTTCACGGCCCCCAGAATATTTTGTTGCATGAATATCTGAACATACAATACATACAAAAAACATACAAAAATCTGTTTTATTCTAGCTTCAAGCATTGTTTTTTTCTTTTTTTTTAATCAACACTTGAATGTAGGTAGGATTCATAAAAAAGCAACATTTTGAGCAAAAAGCTGAGAAAATCTCATTTTTATCAAACACTACACCTGGATCATATTCAGTAACATTATCACAGCAAAGCTGCAGTAGATGGCTTCCATCAGCGCTCCCAAAGCTTGCACACTTTCTGGATCCACATTTCACTCGCTAGCATTAGGCGGTTTTCATTTATACGCGGTTAGTGTTATTTTTCACATGCATATGCTTATGGTCTGTGTTTTTGATGGAGTGATTCTCGACTCTTTCAGGAGATGCGTAACAGCGCCCCCTAGCGTATAACAGTGAAAACACGGAAAATTCCCGGGAAAGAGTTAGCGCTCATGCGATAATTGTGAATTCTTTTTCAATCATTTCATTTTCAGTTTTGGCACATATTTTGCATGCAGTTTTCTAATGAAATCGTTAATCTGGTTTTCATTCTTATAACTGAATTGATTTATTTAAAAGTGTCAGAAAACACCCTCCGTATCAGTGGTGTTTCCCCCTGCTTCAGTCGTCTTGTGTCTTGTGTAGTTCTGAGTGTGGCTGAAGGGGGCTTCTGGGAGGGCTGCTGTCGAGGGCAGGTGGGCTGGTTCCCTGCCAGGTGTCTGGAAGAGATTCCTGTCAAACCTGACAAAGAGAGACCAAGTAAGTGCCTGTGGAGAGAGAGACCATCACAGGACTGGTTCCATCAGTCTCATTCTCAGTCTTCATTCTTCACCTGTGAAGTTAAAAGCCTTTGCTGTTTCTGTAAGCTGGAACGAGTTGTTCATTGATCAGAGCTTGTCAGTGCATGCTGATTGACTTTATTAATGTCCGATTCCTCCAGCTCTTGATCATAAGAGGATCTGTTATAATGCTGTCATTTGTTCACCAGAGAGCAGAATGGAGCGCAGCGACAGGAAAAAACTCTTCAGACATTTCACTGTCGGTTCCTATGACAGCATCGACGGGTAAGACCTCAACCGGACCTGATTGAAAGCATACAGTTCTTCTCAGAAAACCTTCAAGTCAAGTTTCTGTAGTACTATACAGCGCTATACCGACTGTGTGAAAGCGGCTTCACAGTGATAAACTGGAAAATAACAGAATCAGTCGTGCAAACTTCATCCAATATGAGACTAATCCAAACTCTGCTGTAAAAAAAGACAATAGTGTCATTATTCAGATCAAGTTTGAACTGAAGTTTTTGTTTTTATACACAATGATCTCTTATGTCACAAGATCAAGGACAATTTATGGTAACACTTTATTTCGATAGTCCACTTTAGACATTTTATTAACAGTAAGTAATTTTGCAACTATATGTCAACTAGCAGTTAGTAGAGTAATGTAGTTACAAAGTTACTTATAGTTAGTAGAATGTCTAAAGTGGACTATCGAAATAAAGTGTAACCCAGTTTATGAACTTTTTAATTAAAAACACATCCTCAGACAGGAGATTCATCCTTAAATTATGAAGCACAGCAGGCTTTAAATGTCTTTGAAATCTTGACAATTATAAAAGGAGCTTGTTTGAATGTGTTAGAGCTTATATAATAAGGCAATAGTCTTGAAGAGGCCAGTGTTAAAGTGATGTTACTGCAGTGAGCAGTTGTTAGGAGTTAAACTGCCCCAGTGGATGTTTACATATGAAGTGCATAGTTTTATTAAGTCCTGTCTGCATCGACATACATCTCGGTATTATATTACAGCATTAAAAGCCGGCCATCTCGTATTGAAGCATGTCGGTTGCATGAGATGTAGCGTTAGAATCTTGGATTTGATCGGTTAGGTCTACATTTGAACATTTAGCCATTATTTAAAAGTATGATCCAGTGTTGGACCGTATTGATTATGAAAATGGTATTATTTTTTTTGTTTTACTTGTTTCTTTATCATTTAGAATATTTTATGCTTTTTATGAGGAAATGAAATTGCATTTGTGCATTTGATTTGTCAACTCAGTTTTGTTTGGAAAAACCTTCCATGACCCTCAAACTAAATTTAAAAGCTTGCCAGTAAACCGTGGAGTCACACTTAATATTCATCGAGAGATTTTAACCCTAATTATCAATCTTGTCAAATGTAAGTTGAACACATGGCAGACTATTTAAGTTGAAATAGAGAAAAAAACATTTTACATTTAAATAACTTAGGCCTATATTCTTAACCTTGGGCCTCATTGAAAAAGAAGAAGAAGAAATGACCAAAACAGTCTTAAAAGCAGCCAGTACTAATTCTCTAAGTTCTCTTTCATGGAAAAAATATGCTTTTTCATTCATTCGTACTGTACATGGTTGCAACAAAAATTTGTTTAAAATTGTAAGTGCTAATGTTTAAAAAATATTTTTTTGACTGACATTTCATAGACATTATGCTTTCAAATATTATGCCACATGTATGTAAATTGATTTAAAAACATTTAAATTGTATCATTTTGAAGAGAGGTTGATGATACTTTAAATCCTATTACTACACCAATTCATAATGTGTATAGTGTGTTTTTTTTTCGTATGACATTAAAATTAATTTTAGAATTAAAGTGTACATAAATAGGTTAACCAAAACAAACGTGTTTATGTCTTAGAACCTTAGGCCTATGTATTAATTCACGATGTGGTACAGTACAAATGTTTTGATTTCTCTCTATAAAAAAAACACTTTTCTGAGGTTGGCACCCGCGACAGATAAATGACGCGCGTCTGTGACACATGCGTCAGACGTCGTTGCATCGCGTCGCGTCTCACGCTCTGAGCGTCGCGTTATTGAGGCGGTAAGTGAAGCATCTCAACACGCGTCCGGAGCTCCAGCGCTGATGATGGAGAGACGCGAGGAACGCGCGCGTTTATGATCATCGCCATTCATCTCCGGAGACATCGAGTGATCGATACCGATCGATACAGATGATCTGTCATGATGAACCGCGCGACGGTGAGGATGAGGAGGAGGATGATGATGAAGGGCTTGAATAACGCGCGTCATTTCCTCCACAGCGACTGTGTGACCGAGCAGAAAACAGTGGTTTTACTGAAGCAGGAGAAGGAAGGCTTCGGGTTTGTGCTGCGAGGAGCTAAAGGTGAGACCTCATCTTCATCATCACCATCATCATCATCATGAAACATTGGTTGTCAGACACACACACACACACACTCACAAACACACACTCACACTCACACACTCACACACACACACTCACTCTCTCACACACACACACACACACACACACACTCACTCACACACACACACACACACACACAC